CGCACGCACAGCCCCTCCCCGCCGTGGAAACGTGTCCCGCCGGGCTTCCGGGAGCTCCCCGACCCCGGGGTCCGCTTTCCCGGGGAGCCTGGGCTTTGTCGATTGCGCCCGAGCCCGCAAGTGAAACCAAACTTTACTGCGCCGTGACCTCTCCGAGCGCACGAATGGGGACGAGCCGGCGCTTTCTTCTCCACGGCGGCGTCGGCCCCCGGCTCTGCATGTCAGACGGTTCTCCCACCCCCCAAAGTTGGAATCCGTTTTCTGGGCTGACAACAAAAGGGTCAGGGGATCCAAACTTAGCTTCATCAGCCGCCCCTCCTCCGGCCCAGGGCTTTGGAACCATTAGAGACCTTCAGATCGCTGGCGGGCTTGCCCACCTACACACACATTCTGAAAACTTGTTTTTTTAAAGTAAACACTTGATTCTCAAAGGAGTTGATTAAAACATTCACAGGTTCAAATGTTGAATTTTAAAATACTCCCAATATAGTGCCGCTAGAGGCCCGGTGCACAAAATTCGTGCATGGGGGGAGGGGGGTCCTACCCCCCACCCCCCGCCCCCCCTGCAGGCCGGGACCCTTAGGGGGATGTCGCCTGCCTCAGCCCGATCCTAAGCTGGCAGTCAGACATCCCTCTTGCAGTTGGGGCTCTTTCAGTCCGGGACCCCTGCAGTCAGGGACCCCTGGCTCCTTTACTTCGGTGCAGGCAGTGGAGGTAGGAGAGGCTCCTGCCATCGCTGCTGTGCTCCACAGCCATGAGCCCGGCTTCTGGCTGAGCGAGCTCACCCTGTGGGAGAGCACTGACCACCAGGGGTCAGCTCCTGCGTTGAGCGTCTACCCCCTGGTGGCCAGTGCACGTCATAGTGACCGGTCCTTTTGCTGTCCAGTTGATTTGCATATTAGGGTTTTTATTATATAGGATAGTATACTGCATTACATACAGTGTCTCTGAGTTGTGTATTTTTCATTCATTTTTACTAACATCTTCATTTTACTACCAGTGAATTATTTAAGCAGAAATGATCAGAAAGCTTTAAATATAATGCTTTGGCTAGTAAATGCTGATCTTAAATTTTCCCAAATTGGGAATTTTCACTGAATTTTGGAAAAGGCATTGAAATGTATTTTTCTCTTTTTAAAAGAAAGGTTAATTCATACAAATAACTACTTAACTTGGTAGCAATATTGAAAGCAAAACATTCTTAAATAACAGGTGGTTTTTTTTATTTTACTGGTAATAGTATTCAAATTTTGATGTATAAGGAAGTTTCTTTCTAGATCATTGCTTTCTCCTTCCTGCTTCTTTGGCAGTTGGCTTTATCATCTCACTTTTTTGTTATTGGTTAATAGCTGCAGTAAAATGTTTATGAGCCTTTTGTTTTTGTTGTTATTTTAATTTACTGGGCAGAAGAAATTTTGAAGTTATCTTTGGATATTTTTATTTCATACTGCCATATCAAAAATAGTCTGAATTTACATTGTTTTTATGCACTATGAGGTTGTGTGTGTGTGTGTGTGTGTTTTAAATTAGCAATTCTTATTGCTGCTGCACTTTTTCACTATATTTTTTTGGTGCTTGCAAGTATATTAATCACTTCGTTTTACATTCAAATAGTGACTGTACATCAGTGAGAGATAGTGGTAAAACCTAACTAAAGAGAGCAGCAGGCATAAAAGTAATACAAAGTCATACATCTCTAGCATATTCATTATAACTTATTTGGCAAGCTTTGCCATACTTGCCCTTGTCTTTTAGTGATGTAAATTGGATCTTGACTCGTGAAATAAAGAAGCTTAAAACCTGAATTTCTGTTTATGTCCTCTGACCCAAAGAATAAGTTAATAGCCTTACATCTTGTTGCATCTGAATGGTGGTAAGTGTTAGTATCACAGAGTAGAGCTCAGATTTAAAATAGCGAGTATCATCTGTTGCTATTCCCAAGAACTAACTCATCTTTGCATTATTCTCATAGTCTTTTATTTTTTTAAGTTGTGGCTTTGTTAATTCCTAGTGCTTAGGCACATAAAGTTTCAATATAAAATGTGAAAACAAGAGAATAAAAGAAAAAACAAACAAACAGAAATAAAATGTGAAAACACCATCATCATCTCTCACTTGGGAAATAGCTTTGTAAACTGTCTCACTGACCTTTGTTTACCTAGTCTCAACAGCCAGAGTGACCCTGTTAAAATTTGTTAGAGCTTGTCACTTCTTTTCTCAAATGGCTTCCTTTCTCAGCCATAGTAAAGTTCATAGTCCTATTATGGCTCAGTGTTTTGTGCCTCTTCTTCCTCTCTAACTTCATTACCTCACTCTTTTCTCCAGCCACACTTCTGTCGCTACTGAGGTTTTCTCTGACTACTCTGTATAAAACAGAAGGCCCTCCTCCCACATTCCCTTACCCTTTTTAGGCCACATATTTCTCTGTAGCATTTATTACTTTCCAATATACTGTGTAATTTACTAACTTAAGTTCATTGTATTTCTTCATTCTAATGCAAGTTCTGTGAGAATAGTGTTTGTCAATTTTGGTTACTATTTTTGGTTACCTGAACAATGCCTGACACATAGTAGATTCCTAATATACTTTTAATGGGTTAACACCTTTCAGCTGGAAACATTTTAAAACTAACAATAGTCATTATGGTTTGAAACTTTAAACTGTGCAAGTCTCAGTTTTTGCACAAACTGCTAACTTCTCTCCATGCATTATGTTCAGGGGAAGGGGTCCACATTTTTAGAGATTATGACAGCATGTGACCCTGAAACAGATGTCAGAATATAGAAGGAACTAAGAATGCTTAGGTAAGAGTACAGTGGTGTTACTATCTTTACTGTTTAAAATGTTGTTTAAAAGCCAAACTAGACTGAATTTTGATAGTCTCAGAAGGCAGAACTAGTATTGTATTGTGTTTTGTATTGAAAGGGAGGAGAGGCAGTAAGAATGGATGTGGGAAAATTAGTTAAGACTTAAACATAGTAGTCCAGAAGAGATGAGAATAGCTTGAATTAGGATGAGAAATGTGGAAATGGGCAACAGTGATTTAAGATCAGTAGCTCTCAGTTGAAGGATTGAAGGTGAGGGAGAGAAAAATTTCAAAGATGAGTTCTGAGTTGATGGTATTACCAAGTAAGAACCATGGTTCTTTTGATTCAGACATTGGGTTTGAACATACTTTTGGAACTTTCAGGGTGAAATGATTGTAGGCAATTAGATATATGGTTCTAAAATTCAGACAAAAGGTATGTTATGGAAATAGAAAATTGAAGTCACTTACATAGGTATTTGAAACTATAGGTGGAATTGCCTAGGGAAGGGAATATAACTTGGAAAAAAAGAGGTGCTAGAATGCAATCATAATGGCCTCTAACATAAAAAAAAAAGTTTGAAGGAGGAATATGAGCTCCCAGAGAATACTGAAAGTCAGAGAAGTGGGAAGATGAGTATGGTATTACAGAACCAAAGGATAGAATAAAGCTTATTTTAATGCGCTTTGCTTACTTGCACTTCACAGTTGTTTCTTTTTTTTTTTTTTTTT